AGGGAGCTGCTTTAATAATCTCGGCATTTTTCCCCATTTGCTGTGAAATGACTAGGAGTCAGAGCTTTTGTTATATGTACTTTACAAATCACTCTGGTTTTTTACAGATCATTTCTGGAGATGTCAAGATCTTATGACATTGTTAGGTTTTGTATCTTGCTTGACTGTGTCATAGGCCCTCTCGAATTATTTCCCTGCAGGTGTTTGCAATTCCATTGTGTACCCTGTTAGCTGTAGTGACACCTACCGATCTAGGGCAACTGAATTAACTAAGAAATCTAAATTGCCACGTTTAGTCAGCAAGCTGCTTAGGGTTCCACCCACCAGATGTTTCTCCTGCTTAGAAGTCTGGGATTTTATAGACCTGCCTGCTTTTTAATCTTTGAAGCAAATATCAACACATTTGAGATCTGGAAGCTCACAGCTCCACACGGAAATGAAGTGTTGCCATGACCACAGCTTTAGGTTTTGCATATAAGACGTTTATCCCAAGTATAACAGAGCAGGTCTATAGGAGGTTTGTTTTAATTCTTACCTCTTGGAAGCCTTGAAAAGAAGCATACATATGCTTTAATGGTGTAGCCAATAGAATGGTAATAAATACTGCAAGAAGACGACACGCATTTGGTGCTCAGAGACTTCATTCATTTATATCAGAAGTCATGTGGCCAGCAGGAGCAGGGAAGTGGTCGTCCCCCTGTACTTGGCTCTGGTGAGGCCACACCTCAAGTACTGTGTTCAGTTTTGGACCCCTCACTACAAGACAGACATTGAGGTGCTGGAGCGTGTCCAGAGAAGGGCAAAGCTGGTGAAGGGTCTGGGGCACAAGTCTTATGAGGAGCAGCTGAGGGAACTGGGGTTGTTTAGTCTGGAGAAGAAGAGGCTGAGGGGAGACCTTATCGCTCTCTACAACTACCTGAAAGGAGGTTGTGGTGAGGTGGGTGTTGGTCTTTTCTCCCAAGTAATAAGCAATAGGAAGAGAGGAAATGGCCTCAAATTGTTCCAGGGAAGTTTAGATTGGATATTAGGAAAAATTTCTTCATGACGGGTTGTCAAGTACAGGAACAGGCTGCCCAGGGAAGTGGTGGAGTCACCGTTCCTGGAGGTACTTAAAAGACATGTAGATGTGGTGTTTAGGGACATGGTTTAGTGGTGGACTTGGCAGTGGTAGGTTTACGGTTGGACTTGATGATCTGAAATGTCTTTTGCAACCTAAATGGTTCTATGGTTTAATACTTCTAGGGGGAAAAATTTTAGTTATTTGCAGGGCACCCTTTGAAATGACTAGAAACAGGATAGTCCCTCACTCTTGCACAGTATGTTTTCAGCTGTTGCTTAATGCGGTTTTCCCATAAGGACGAAGCGTTTGGAGATCTGATCACATAAAATCCCTTTATGCTTTTGTTTACAGGAGAACTATTCTCTGAGTAGTTGGAATATTAATTTTCTCAACTGAAAAGTATACTAAGGTTATTAGGGCTTTACCTTCTTTAACAGTATTTCCCAGGCATTTACAGTGGATAATCAGAGAACAGGGGCAGTCACTCAACCTGAGAAGATACAAATTTATTTCCTTACTGTCATTGTGATTACAAGTGGCTTCATTTGACATAAATTGATTATAGATGGGTATAGAATGAGAGGATACAGCTGATCCATTTGTCTTCAGGTCTTCTAGTTATTTTTCTCCATTTGCTACATAAGGTTTTCAGAGTAACAATTCCAGCAGATATGAAGTTGAAGAAAATTTTGCTGTGCACATTATAGCAGAACAGACCGTTTAAAAATTTGTGTGCCATACATTTTTTTTCATTAATGTTTTTATTTTTCTGACAGTAGTATTAATACAGAAGGCAGATTTTACCACAATCCAATTATTTGTTGCCTGGAGAACTGGAAACTTAAAATCCTAAAGCCATTCAGTTTTCATAGAATTTTAACATGGATTTGATTAATTCCATAGTATAATTTTGACAATAGGTTTTATCCTGTCCTTGTTGAAATCAGTGGAAGACTTCACACTGATATCAGTGAGAACATGATCAAACCCAGCTGGGCAGCAAGTACTCTTACTTTTTTTTTTTTAATTCCTATAAGTAGTAGAGAACCATTAAGCCTGTAGTGCACAAACCCATGCAAAATTACAGTGGGTGAAAGTTAATTTTATCATCAGAAGCTCATGGAAATTAGAACGCATCAGTGAGCAGACCGTAAATTTTAGGACAGGGTGTATAAATTCAGACAGAGATGATACTGGGGTTTTTGTGGTTTAATGCTGTCTACTCTATATTGCTTTTACCAGTGTTAAATTTTTTGCTGATTTTATTTTTTAATGTTTGTGCAAGACTTTTGTTGAGCTGAAAAACATATTACAATAATAATAAAAGAGAATAGATTTTTATGGTATAGCAATGTGCAAGAGAGGCCAAAAATCTGAACATTTCCCTAGCCTTGAGCTATATGCTGTACACTAAGTGTAACAGGTAAAAATTGTAAGCCTGCACAAATCCCATCTGAAGCCAAAAATAGCAAAAAAAGACAAAAGTTGTTTTCATCAAGACCAACTTGCTATTCCCAATTTATAATTACACTGGAACTTGCCAATTTTACGGCAAGAGCAGCTCTACCAGCAAACAACACTATTTTTGCTGAGAGTTGTCATGTTGGCAGTTATTACAATCAAAATTGTCACTTTATTTTATTTAAAATTTATTTCCCCGGTAAGCAAAAAATAATACCTAGACTTGAAAGGGGACGTATGTTAAAGATTATTTTTTTTTTTACATTTCTCTTGAGTATGCAGCATATCCAGCTTCAACTCCCTGCAGCAATACATAAATGCCCAAGAAAAATGTTTTCAAAATCAATATATACTACAGTCAAATATGAGACTCTGCAAACCCGTAATTGAAACTGTGGGAGAAAAGCAGGCAGCCTGAATATAAACAAAGTACCAGAGCTGGATTATGACCAAGATGCAAGCGCTAATACAGCCTCTCTTAAGAGAACTGTCTGGAGACCTTCCCAGCATGTGCGAGTGTTAGAAAGCAGGGGTGTTTCAGGTGCAGCCTGCTGGTGCTCATCCCCAGGCGATTTATTGTTTGGCTGTCTGACATCTGTGTAGAGAGCAACACACGCCGGGTTTCATCTAGTTTTTCTTTTTCACCTGGGTCGTCTTGTATCTGTGGGCCCTTCTCACTTTGTATCTTCTCACTCTGCATGTACAACCTCAGTCTCTCTGGTGTTTCCCGACTGCTGCCTTCACTGCCGCCACCACCGCCCCCCTCTGACAGGGTTTGTGGCTCCACAGCCTCTTGGGACTGCCAGAACTCAGAAAGCAGCAGTGGAATCAGTGTGCTGCTCTATACTCAGGAAAAGCAAAAGCGTGGAAAGTATCTGCTGTCTTTCTGGAAGCACGGAAATGAGTAGGGACCACAAAAATAATTGAAGATTTTGTAGACAAGATGTATGTATGTTATGATCAAAGGATACCTCAAAGAGTATAAGACACCATCTATCTCTATTGACACACCTAAAAAAAAGGGAAGAGAAAACCATGCACTGAGATATGACTCTTCGTACTCCCCAGCACAGTCCATGGCAGAGCCGCGATAAAGCATCCCATGTTATTACCTGTAGTATTTGCCTTTCTTCTCATTAGCACCACACGTTATGTGCCTGTCTCTCACGCCCATCGTTCCCTTTCTAACCAAGTTCTCATTGTCTGGAAGACTTGCTGCAGAGTACCTAAGAACATCATATGACTGCAAGCTCAGAATTATTGATTAAATTCACAAAAAATTTGGATCATTAGCTTATGAGCCTTACAGAATATTTGCAAGATTTCTGCTTTCATCAGAGGAGAAACCTCAAGTCAGTGATTTACAGCTGAAGTGTACGCACAGTAGTTCAGCTATTCCACTTGAGGCAGTTTGGGCTGATGTGAAAAATAAAAAGGGTAAAAGAAAGATCACCAAGGCAATGCTGCAGACTTTCACAGGAGAGTTAACAGTTTTGAGTCAGAGTAATTAGTTTGCAATATGGTATATGTAATGAAGAAATCCATTACTTTTCTTTACATTGTTGTTATGCATGCTAGGACACATTAATTTGCATGGGAAGACACAAATTAATCATTTACTTGTGGAACTGAGAATTTCAAACTGAGGAAGAGGAGGGGCAGGTTTTTATACTTTTTGGCCCATAATTCATGAGCACATTTGACATACTTGACCCCAGTATTCTGTCTAACTCCATCAGAAATGAAAGGTAGCTCCCCAGTTCAGTCACCTTTTATAGGCTGCATAAGCCAGACTAATGTTATGCATATTTGTACACTGTATAGCACAGTGGGACCCCCAAACTGATTGGGGTCTCTGGAGGACTTTCACAGCATACATATTACATGATAGTATATTACTAGGCAGAAAGAAAAACCCAGAAGTACTTTTAAAAAGAGCTGTTATGAACTGTCTAGTTTTGTACTCTCAGAATAAAGCAAGGTTTTATTCTTTCCAGTTGCATCCTCATTTAAACGAAGAACAAATCCATAGATTAAGGCCAGACGTGAATGAGAGACAATAGTTACTGATAAGAGCAGAACACGTGGTCCAGTCTGGGTGCTGACACTGCAGCAGCTGCATGTTACTTTGAGAGCTGTCCTGTGGCAAGAAGAACCTTCAGCCTCTTTAAAATGTGCCGTATTAATAGTCCAGCCCTGCAGTGCCTTGCATTTCAGGTTTGGTGGGGCTTTTTGACTTTGCTTCAGGCAATAGTTCTTGAAAGTACAGGGTCCAAATACATTTGTAACCGGTCCTTCCTATTGCAGATGGCCCGTTTAATACTGGTAACTTATTCTGCAGTGTGGGAAATTTATGATTGACTAAGATAAAAACTCAGTGTTTTGATTGCCTAAAATTTCTGTGGTTTATGATAGATAAGTACTGTTTTTTCTTCTAGTAATTATTTCCTCCTGACTCCTTCCTTGTTATCTTAAACAGGTTTGGAAAGAAAAAAGAAGATAAAAATGGGAAAACAGATCAGAAGGTGAATCCAAAGCAAGGCATGCTTAAAGAGGAGGAGCTGGAGAAAATGAAAGATGAACGTGAAAGGTGAGTAAATGGTGGCAGCATCTTTGTTCATCAGATGAAAAACTTCAAAGCAGGGGATTGGTTGAAGGGACAGACAGCCTGGCTGGAGGTGTCCCAGACTATGCCTGCTGGCAGGCAGGTCCAGGCAACGCAGAGCTTTAGGCAGATCTTCTGGCCGAGTTAGAGCTGCTGTATGACAGGAGCTTGTCTGTCTCCCGCAATTTCTGCGCACTTCACTCTAGTAGCTGCTATTCAGATCCCAACTTCTGCTAAGTTGGCAAAGATCAGTTCCTTCAAAACATGTTTCACCTCTGCCCATTCCCAAGACTGACTGACTTAGTAGTTTTTTCTCTGCTTCTCTAAAGTGAGAACCTCCTCCCTTCTCTCCTGACAGCCTCCGCTGTGTTTTCAAGCACTTCAGACCTCTTTGGCTTCAGCTGGCTGTGCCAAGTTTTTGTTACTTGGGTGTGGTTTTTTTCTGCACAGTATTTGCTGGTTAGCCACGTGTAGCAGAAATATCTACTCCACAAATGCTGACTATGCCAAGAGACACCAGAAAGCAAGCAGGTTGAAATGGTTAAAATCAGTCTGAAGAGGCAGGGCTCTGCAAGCAGTGGGGTGGGTGAGATGGGCAAGGCAAGAAGATGGGTGTGTCAGCTGTGAGTTTTCATGTTTCTGAGGTAAGGCTCTGAGACTGAAAGGAAAGGAACCACTGATGTGAATAAGCCCAGTTCTCTCTTTTGTTTGTAAAATACTCCTTTTCCATGCCTAATCTTAGCAACTTCATTATCTTTCCAGATAAAGAGAATTTATAGTTTTCTGCTTTCCCCCACGTCTGCCCTTCAGAAACTGGGGACAGTTTGTAAGTGCTGAGAAGGCTCAGCGAACTCCCCTTCTCCCTTTCCCAAACTCATCCAGATGTACTTCATGGTATGCTGAAGAAGGTCTTTGTTTCTTTAACTTCTCTTCTGTCACAGAAGTTAGAGAGCCATACACACTGGCTCTCAAGAGGTTCTGCAGTTGCTGTAAAACTTTCCAAGTTGTAGTCATATGGGTTGTCAGGGTATGGGGAAAGCTTTCAGAGCTCTCTTTCCTTCACTGGAGCATCCTGCTCCTGGGAGATGGAGTGGAAGCAGATACGGTTCCTTCTGGGCAGGCAGGGTCTTTCCACATGGGCCAGCCTATGTGGTGCTGCTCAGTGCCCAGGGGAAAGACACTGCGCTTTGGGTGGTAGCTAATGGGTTTGATGGGGAACATAAATAAATCCAAACCCCAACCCTTGGAAATCTGCTGCTGCTATGTACTGTTTTAACAGCTAATAAGGTATCTAGTTGCTGTAGTGCTGCTACTGGATATGCTTAGCCAGTGTTAAGTATTTAGTTCATCGAAGTTAAAGAGTGTCAGGAGAAACTTTGTACCATTTGTTTTAAAATTTCTGTGCCATGTCCTTGATTTTGCCAGATTGATGAGTGCCTTTATTTTAAACTGCTGACTCCCAATTTGGATACTGGCAATTTGAGAGGTATGTGTCCTTCATTTTAAAGAAGCCAGTGTCTTTTATTAGGATCCTGGCAAGCTAAGAAGCATGTATCCCATCTGTTAAAGGGCCAGTGTCATTTACTAAAATGTTGGCAGGCTGCAAGGAATGAACCCTTCTGTCTAGAGGTCTAACGTTCCAATTGGACAGAAGATAATTGTTCTTAATATTTCTTTAGCGTTGTATGCTTTTTCTTAAATTACAGTCACTGATTGACAGTAACTTGGTAAGGCTGCATTAGGAACTGGCAGCTCAATGTCTTCATCATTCTGGTTTCTCTAGTAATGATTTCAGTTTTGACCTGGAAGAGTTTGCGACTGAAATGGAGAACAGCAGGTGTGTTGAGAAGTGGATGAACCAAGACGATATTTTTAACTCACTTATTTAATTCTTCTATAATGCACGAGAATAGAAATATCACACTTTATTATCAGATAATACATCTTATATGTTTGGGGGATTAAAATTAAAAAATAAAAATAAAAAGCAGAAGAGGAGCAAAGAAATTTTCCCTTCGTTATCCTCAAAGCAATGCAACACATGCTGTAAAAACAAGCAATTTGCTTCAACTTTCTAAATTAAGTAGAACATGGCTGTATATTTGCCCACATAAGACTATCTACAGGGAGACTATTGAACCCTTCTCGAGCTGATCATAAAATAGAAGAGACTTTATCTTTCCTAGAGGAAAATTATATGAGGAAGCTGGTTCTCTTACGTGGGTAAGAACTGTTTGGGAAATTGATTAAAATCAGTGGAAGGAAACATTACCTGACTTGAAGCTAATTCAGTCCTGTTCTTAGTTGTTGACTGTTCACCTAGTGATGATGCTCAGTAAGACAGTAAAGACATGTTTTATAGCTCTGCCCCAAGATTTAGTAATTCTATAATGTAATTCAAGTCCAAGATTTTAATGCACACATTGGCAAAGAAAACCTTGTGGCACATCCACACCATAGATCTTCTGCTTCTATGATTTCACTAGCTGCAATCCTGCATACTTCGTCTCATATTTATAAAACCAAGCTTCACTGAAGCTTACTAGAAATAGGCATATTTTCAAATCTGTTTTTGTTGAGAGCGAAATGAGTATATGTTAAAACTACTAGGGATGTCATAGTAGAGCAGACTACAGAATTGTTGATAGAAATGTAGCATGTTTTGTCCCCTGATACCTGTGAACAAATCCTGTATTTAACAGCTTTAACAAAATATAAATTGCTTTTCTAACATTTAACCTTTCTAGAATTAACTCAAACATGTACCTAATTTTACCTTTCTAAGATTAGCTGTATAAGTAATTCTTGTTCAGATCCTCAATCCAATTATTACAATCTTAAAGTCAGGGTTTTGCTTAAACTTCAGTTTTCTTAAATGCTGGCTGCCTAAATATTTCAGGATCTGTCATACTAACTGATACTATGATTCTTCATCTGATGGTCAAGCTGTCCATTTTGGAAGCTAGTGGGAGAGGTCAGAGTACTTGATTTTTGGGCTGGGTGTGACAGGATTAATGATCAAGTGCATTTCAACATCTTAGCAGCTGTGGACCTCGCGTGGTTTTGGATGTTGGTTTTGCATGCAATATATGCTTGGCAGCTCTCCAAAACCAGAATACTGTTCCAAGATCTCAGCTGAGAAATATTTTTCAGTAGGAAGTGCATTTCCAGTTTACAGGAGTAGGCCATCTCTCAGAGTTTTGCAGAGTTTCTGAATTGGCATGGGATAGGTACACTAGTATTTCACAGAATTCCAGGGACAGGTTTTCTCTAAAGGATGCAGCCTTCTTCCAGAAATTCTGACAAGATTTACAGATGTGCAGAAATGTCAGATGTATTCACTGCACAATTACGGGTTGGCTGTGCAGTACAAACTCAGTGACTCTGGCTCTGACAGGAAACATCAGATCTTACGTAGGTGTGCTGCATGAGCATAAGTCCATCGTGCTCAGAATAGGTTGGATTTCCTGCCTGCACAGAGAAGGAATTGTACAGTGTATGTGCAACAAGTCTGGCACATCCAGAATGTGTTAGAGCTAGTAGGCGTATGCAGACAGAGTATACAGCACTCACTCTGTAGTGCAGATGCTTCCCAAGAGATTGGACTTGCTTGCACGTTGGTACTCGGCGTAGATTTGCCTGGCAACCCCTTTTATGGGCTGCCAAGTTTCAGATTTGAACCTCAAAAAGTGAAAATAAATTTAGTATTTCTCTAGCCTAGTAATTTCTATTTCCATTCCACATTGTCCTCTTCTCAGTTTTCAGTACAACTCTCTGTGCTGCCTTGTAGCTGCAGTTCTCTGAAGCAGCTCCACATCCTGCACTGAAATGCTGACATCATCATTTTTTTACTGCTTGTATTCCCTAGCAATCCCCACCAAGATCAAGGTCTCATTGTGCTCGTTGCTGTTAGGGAAGCTTGGGTCTGACCCCAAATGCTTAAACTTGAGGTAGAAGAGAGAAAATCTGGCGGGGGGGGGGGACCCCAAAAACTCCGGGGGGGGGGGGGGGAACCCAAAACATCCTGTGGGTGGGAATCTGACATGCAGGCAGTGCAGCTGCTTGTCCAGGTTCCTAAAAAGTCCCTGTCAGGCCAGGAATTTGTTCCAGACCTCAGCCCCAGGCCTCCTTTTTTGTCAAAGCCAGTACTTTATTATATGACCACTACTCCTGCAAGCTTCAAGTGGTTAACAGGAACTTAGGATGTTAGGTGTTCCTTGCTTAGTAATAGCCTTATCTGTGTCCAATTGAATATGAATTTGGCACCTCTTCTAAATTTCACTATTTTTCTTCTTCTCCCCCTACCTCCCTTAGCTTTCCTTGTGCCACAGCAATGCGGTGTTGCTGAAACTTGACTGGAGAAAGGCAGAAGTTCATGACACAGTTCAGGAGGACTGACTTAACTGGTGATATAGTTCTCTGAGGTGGTGGTTTGTCCTTCCTGACACGAGCCAAGTGGTTCATTGGACTGAGGCCCTATTTTAAATAAACTCTTCATTTTGTTCATGCTTCAAAGAGTTTGGCTGCAATAAAGCATGTGCTCCAAAGGTCTAGAATCTGCCCATAAAAGGAAAAAGCAAATGCTATGTCTGAGGTTTATTTTGATCAAGCTGACTCAAATCTGTATTTTTAGTGTGTTCTGTGTAAATTACTCAGAATTTATCATTTTAACAACAAGATGTTCGCTACATTACTAAATCCTGGAAGAGATCCTCTTTTCTTTTCCTCAAAACAAGATTTCTTTTCCTCCATCTTTTTCCCGCTCGCTTGAGGTTGCCTTTTCATTTTCTAACGTTTGAAAATCATTGTAAAACAAACTGGATAAATATATTAGGCACTTGAGTTTTACACATAATAATTTGTTTGCCTTTCAAATGCAAATAGAGTGACTATCAATTGAAAGAAAACTATTTTTTCCTGTTTACTTAGGACTGTTTTA